TATCAACTATTTTTACGTGTCCCATGACCCCCCGGGAATTCAGACAACGCGGTTCGGGGACGGTAGCCAGGACGCTTTTCAGCTCCCCCCCCTCGCGCGCTCAGCAACACTTAACAGTAAGGAAGCAGAAAGCAGCACTGTAACAGTGGAAATTGGAAACTGCAACTGGCACAGGGAGCTGCAAGCCTAACCTTCGCAGCATGATGGCCCCGCAAGGGGTCCGGCGGATAGAAATTAGCCTGGCGAAAGACCCAACCATATGCAGTTGGGAGCACCGTAATTGTGAATCGGAGGTTGGGGGGTGAGATCGAAGAGGAACGGAGAGCCCCCCTACCGGGCAATCGATTTCGGTGTCGTGTTCGTGCGTGCCGTGCGAACGGGCGAGGCGAAGCTGCGTGGGCGGGCGAGAGAAAGTCTCCTGTGGCTGAGGCGCGGCCGGACCAAATGATTGCCGTCCGGGCGTCTGGGGGCCCGCGGTGCCCCGCCCGGTGTCCCGCTGGGGTCCCGTGTGGCTGAGGTGCGGCTGGACCAAATGATTGCCGTCTGGGCGTATGGGGGCCCGCGGAGGCCCGCCGGTGTCCCGCCCGTGTCCCGTCGGTGTCCCGTCGGTGTCCCGATGATGATGACGATGATGATGATGATGATGACGATGATGATGATGATGATGTTGATGATGATGATGTTGATGTTGATATTGATGTTGATGTTGATGATGATGATCGTGATGGTGATGGTGATGGTGATGATGATTGTGATGATGATGGTGCTGAAGATGATGATGGTGATGATGATGATGGTGATGGTGATGGTGGTGATTGTGATGTTGATGATGAGGTTGATGATGTTGTTGATGATGATGACGACCCGTTTTGATGTTGATTATGATGATGATGATGATGATGATGATGATGATGATGATGATGATGATGATGATGATGATGATGATGATGATGATGATGATGGTGATCGATCGGGAGATATCGATTGTGAAATCGATGGTGGGGTCCATTGTGAGATCGATTGAGTGAGACGTTGGGTCCGCCCCCCGTCAATTGTTTCCCAACCCTCCTTGGTTGGGCATTCGTTTTGAATAGAGCAGTGTGGTCGCGTCCCTTCTCCCTTCTCCCGCCTCCCGCCTCCCGCCTCTTCTTGTCTTGCCCGCGGGGGGCTGCGATCTGTGAAACTGTCGCCACTTTCGAGGCCTGCTGGGGGGTCCAGCATAGAGGGTAACCGCGGCAGATTCAAATTAGACCTCGCCATCCCTGGGGGGCTGCGATCTGTGAAACTGTCGCCACTTTCGAGGCCTGCTGGGGGGTCCTGCATAGAGGGTAACCGCGGCAGATTCAAATTAGACCTCGCCATCCCTGGGGGGCTGCGATCTGCGAAACTGTCGCCATTTTCGAGGCCTGCTGGGGGGTCCTGCATAGAGGGTAACCGCGGCAGATTCAAATTAGACCTCGCCATCCCTGGGGGGCTGCGATCTGCGAAACTGTCGCCATTTTCGAGGCCTGCTGGGGGGCCCAGCATAGAGGGTAACCGCGGCAGATTCAAATTAGACCTCGCCATCCCTGGGGGGCTGCGATCTGCGAAACTGTCGCCATTTTCGAGGCCTGCTGGGGGGCCCAGCACAGTGAGGGCCACGCGCGGATTCAAATTAGACCTCGCCATCCCTGGGGGGCTGCGATCTGCGAAACTGTCGCCATTTTCGAGGCCTGCTGGGGGGCCCAGCACAGTGAGGGCCACGCGCAGATTCAAATTAGACCTCGCCATCCCTGGGGGGCTGCGATCTGCGAAACTGTCGCCATTTTCGAGGCCTGCTGGGGGGCCCAGCACAGTGAGGGCCACGGGCAGATTCAAATTAGACCTCGCCATCCCTGGGGGGCTGCGATCTGCGAAACTGTCGCCATTTTCGAGGCCTGCTGGGGGGCCCAGCACAGTGAGGGCCACGGGCAGATTCAAATTAGACCTCGCCATCCCTGGGGGGCTGCGATCTGCGAAACTGTCGCCATTTTCGAGGCCTGCTGGGGGCCCCAGCACAGTGAGGGCCACGCGCTGATTCAAATTAGACCTCGCCATCCCTGGGGGGCTGCGATCTGCGAAACTGTCGCCATTTTCGAGGCCTGCTGGGGGGCCCAGCACAGTGAGGGTAATCGCGCGGATTCAAATTAGACCTCGCCATCCCTGGGGGGCTGCGATCTGCGAAACTGTCGCCATTTTCGAGGCCTGCTGGGGGGCCCAGCACAGTGAGGGCCACGCGCGGATTCAAATTAGACCTCGCCATCCCTGGGGGGCTGCGATCTGCGAAACTGTCGCCATTTTCGAGGCCTGCTGGGGGGCCCAGCACAGTGAGGGCCACGGGCAGATTCAAATGAGACCTCGCCATCCCTGCGGGGCTGCGATCTGCGAACCTGTCGCCACTTTCGAGGCCTGCTGTGATCCCCGTTTTCGAAGTGGCTAGGAGTGCTCAGGAATTGTAAATCATCAGCTTTATCAAGCCCTTTTCCTGTAGCCAGTGTCCTGCGAGTCTCCCGAATTCCGTCTGCAGACATATGTAACCCTCGCTCCGTCATCGCCCCCTTATAATAAAGTATCCTAAACTATTTGCGCCCCGCTTTTGCGCAGGGGTTGGGTACGTCGCCAGGGTAATTTTACCATTCAGGGATTTCGGTTCAAGGCTTCTGTTGCACTCGGCACGCGGGGGGGGGCCGGAAACGCGCCCACTTCGGTCACACCTTTCCTTCGGTTTCGCTACGAGGCGGCAGGTTCCCAGGGGGAGGGACGAATGGTACCAAGGCGCCAAAGAACGAAGGGTGGTGTAAACAACTCGACACCGACGCTCCCAAGAGCGAGCGGCAACGCAACACTCTCCATTGGCATCGTCACAACAACAATCACAATTGTTGCCCATTGCTGGGACCCTTCCCCCCCAACCTCCTTATCACCCGCAGGGTGGTCGTATATGTATCTTCTTCGGTGGCACTCCCCATGGGGCCACGAAACGCTGCATTGGGTGGGTGAAACGCAGGGAGCAAGGGCCGTGTTGGGTGGTGGCGGACGCATGCGGGCGGTGCCAGTGGGACCTTCCGTGGAGCCCCCTTTATGAGGCCACGAACCGCTGTACTGGGTGGGTGAAACGCAGGGGGCAAGAACTGTACTCGGTGGTGGCGGACGCATGTGGGCGGTGCCATTGGGACCTTCGGTGCAGCCCCTTTATGGGGCCACGAAGCGCTGTACTGGGTGGGTGAAACGAAGGGAGCAAACGCTGTTCTGGGTGGTGGCGGACGCATGCGGCCCGTGCCACCGGGACCTTCGGTGGAGCCCCCTGTGGGGCCACGAACCGTTGCACTGGGAGGGCGAAGCGCAGGGAGCAAGGGGTGTGCTGGGTGGTGCCGAACGCATGCGGGCGGTGCCACTGGGACCTTCGGTGGAGCCCCCTTATGGGGCCACGAAGCGTTGTGCGGGGTGGGTGAAACGCAGGGAGCAAGGGCTGTGTTGGGTGGTCGCGGACGCATGCGGGCGGTGCCACTTGGAGTTTCGGTGGAGCTCCCTATGAGACCACGAAACGCTGTACTGGGTGGGTGAAACGCAGGGAGCAAGGGCTGTGCTGGGTGGTGGCGGACGCATGCGGGCGGTGCCACTGGGACCTTCGGTGGAGCCACCTTATGGGGCCACGAAACGATGTACTGGGTGGGTGAAACGCAGGGAGCAAGGTCTGTGCTGGGTGGTGGTGGACGCATGTGGGCGGTGCCCCGAGACCTTCGGTGGAGCCCCACTATGGGGCCACGAAACATATATTGGGTCGGTGAAGCGCAGGGAGGAGGGAGGAGGGAAGAGGAGGGGGAAGAGGAGGAGAAGGGGAGAGGAACGCGGGGACCGTCTCATCAAAACGAGGACCCAACACCACAGGATGGTTGGGAATCAGGATGTCAAAGCTGTTGCTTCTGAAGCTTTTCACATTCCGATTGTGTGCGTTCTATATTATGATCCCGCCGCAGCGTGGGCCTCATTTTCGGATCGGCGTTTTGCTCCCGTCGTTCAGAATGGCGCTCTCGGCCCAGCGAGGGCCACTTCTCTGGATCCGAGTCTTGCCTCACTGTAGTCACTGTAGTCCCCCTCCTCATTTCCCCTCTTCCGCCTTCCCCTGGTCCTCCTGTCCCTCCCGATCCTTCCACTCCAGTTCTTGCTGATTCTTTGTGTGCCGCCCCAGCGCGGGCTACCGTTCTGAATCCGAGTCTTCTTTCATCGTTGTCGCCCCCTCAGTTCCCCTCCTTCGCCTGTCCCTGGTCCTCCGTTTCCTCCCGATCGTTCTGCTTTGTGTCCAGTTGCTGCTCTTCGTCCTCATCCTTTTCCTCCCGCTCATCATCCTGCTCACCCGCCACCTCCTCCTTCTCCTCCTCCTCCTCCTCCCGTGAACGCAGCTCCCGTTCTTCTCCCGAGTGCGCATAACACGAAGTGGTCTTTCTGTGGGAGTCGCAGGTCGGCTACACCCGTCCGCGGATGGAGAAATTCAGCGCCAGGGGAAGGGATGGGAGGGAGGGATACAGGCGGCCCGGATTAGTAGGTCGACCCTGCCAAATCGAGTGTACTTTCGTGTCCTGTGTTTTGCGACCCATGAATCCTGCAGTTCTGTGGCAACGTGGCCCTCGGAAGGGTCGCCTGTCCTCTCGCGTGTCCTCTCCGATCAAGTCCGACTGTAGGATGCCAGAGGAGGCGCGAGCGCACTCGCCCCCCGCCCTCCGTCCCTGCCTCCCCTCGACTCCGCTTGTTTTCCACCCTGCCTCTCCATTTTGTTCCCTCCCCCTCCCTCCCCCCCCCTCCCCCTAGGGAGGAACACCCCGGCCAAGAATGTGCGTTTACTAAACGGCCCTGGGCGTTTACTAAACACCCCTGCCCTGATCGATTCCTTCTCTGGGTGTGTTTACTAAACTTCTTCGCTTGTGTGGGTGCTTATTATGAGGGTGATTATTCCGCCTTCTACCCTCCCCCGTCCACGAGTCCAGGTCACGGCGTCGCGCGGGGCCGACCCGGGTATTCTACGTGATGCGGCATGGTAGGAAGGACGCCAGGGCGGGAGATTTTTCAGAGCCCGCGAGCAGGTAACAGGCCAAGGAGGAGGAAAGGAGGAGGAGTAAAAGGAGGAGGACGTCTGTGCTTGCACGACCTGCTTCATTTGCAAAGCGGAGGAGGAGCCTGTGCTCTCAGAGGGGTGTCAAGCGTATTGGTGCATGCAGGCTTTCTTTTGCCCCGCCCGTCTGGCGCGCCCTTCGGCACACGATGCACGAATGGTATCCAGCTGTGTCGTCCTCATTCACTTGTCTAAGCCAGATTCCTCCATGCGGACTCGGTGATGATGATGTTCATGGTGATGGTGATGATGGTGATGATGACGATGTTGATGCTGATGATGCCGCTGCTGATGATGATGCTGATGATGATGTTGATGATGATGGTGGTGATGGTGATGCTGATGATGATGTTGATGATGGGGATGATGATGAGTCTGAGTCTGAGTCTGAGTCTGATGATGATGATGATGATGATGATGATGATGGTGATGATGTTCTCCGGTGCTGTGCTCCTACGCGTGCGTCTGCGCAGCGTGACAAGGTGGTCGGCCCGGCCAGGGGCCCGCGAATCTGGCTCTGAACTCACCGGACTCGCCTGCAAAGCTTTCTCGAGCCGGCGCTACGGACAGAACTGTCTGGGTTCATGCTGTTGCAGCTCTTTTTCACAGGCTGGCTCGAGCGCCCGCGCACAGGGCGCGTTCTGCCTTCCTTGCTTCTCTCTGCTCTCACCCTGCCATGCCGCCGTGCCAGGTCTGCCTCAGCCATGGGGTGCAAGGCGAGGCGCTCCCAGGGACCAGACTTCTGCGCCGCACGTGCGGGCGCCTCCGGCCTGGCGGCCGCCGCAGCTTCGACGCCTCTGCCACCAGGCCTACCATTAAGTCGGGCATGTCCCTCTACAGGAGGAAGATTCAGAAATTTGCTAAAAAGAAGATGGGGACGATTCTTCTATCAGTTTCGACCACTTCGAGTATTTCTGACTTACTGTTGATTCTTCCTGTAAAATCCGTCTGTGGGAGGACGTGCCCGACCTGGGCCCACCAGCTCCCAGGAGGGCCAGGAGCGAGACGGAGGCCGCGAGCACGAGCCTCACGCTTTCCGTCGGCGCCCTCACGGCCGAGCTACCATCCGCGGTGGACACCGAGATGACCGCCCCAGACGCCATCGGTGTGTTTCAGTCGGGCATGTCCCTCTGCAGGGGAGGAGCATTCAAGCCAGCATGTCCGACCGGGCGGCTAAAAGAATCGTTTGCCCCAGCCCTGGGCACGGGAACGAATACAGTGTGAAAGGATTGCAGCGTGAAACAACACCCCTTGCATGCAGAATTCTCGATTGGGCATCTGAGCGGTCGGAGGAGTACTCAAGAACAGCAAAGAAATAGTATATAAGGTGACGATTGTTCGACTATGTTTGACCATATTGGCGTATTTGTTTACTATCTTGAAGTTTTCTTCCAACATCCGCCTGCAGGGGGGCATGCCCGACCTAACAATCTGTCTGCCCGTGTGGCGCTCATCGCGCAGCTGGGCGACACCGCGGTCTCCGAGTCGGCCCAGACCATGGCCGAGCTGGATGCCATCCAGGTCGACGTCAAACATCAGCACGAGGACCGTCACCGCCGCTGCTGCTGCCAGCCCGGTCACGCTGCCCATCGCAGCGCCTACCCAGGCGGCCATCTCCGAGCAACTCTCCCGGCACTGGCTGGAACAGGAGATTTTGAAGCACGTCGCGTTGGTCCAGGCGGTCGCGCGAACACGACCCAGGAACTCGCAGAATTGGTCGTCCAGTATCGCCAGTGTTGGACTTCATTGGTCGGAGTCCTCACCAAACTAGGGTATGTGGTCGAGTCCAAGGAGGGTCCGTGGAAGACCCTTGGCTTCGCGCTCTACGACGGCCTCGAGCCCACCGCGCAGGGTCTAGCCGCCCGCGAGAGAACGCCAGTTGAACTATGCCAACTGAGCCTGAAGACGTCTTGGTCACTGCCAGACACAGCCTTGGCAGGTTCCGCGATTCAGCATTTCAGGGAGGCTGTGGTTGTCAGGGCCCTGTCAGCCTTTCCTACTCCTGCGCGTCCCTCTGTGCTCCCATGTGCGTCGCTAGATCGGCTCACAAGGGCCCTTGAGCTATCATGGCGCGCCTGTGACGGACGCGCCCGCTTCTAGCACGGGCCCCCCGTAAAAACAAAAAAAGAGAGAACGTGCTCCCTTCTAGCACGGGTCCCTCTATTTGTACCTCGTGTCTCTCTGTGTCCATACAGTCATTCTCGTACAATCCACAGTGGTAACAGAGCCTGTGGTTGAGATCCACGAGTGGAGTCAGGACGACCCCCTTGTCATTCGATTCTCGGGCGACATGCTCTTTACTATTCTCCCGCTCTCCCCGCTCCTTGCCCAATTGCACCGAGCGCCGCCATGGATTTGCCAGACGACGCTCAGCTTCAAGAGGATGAATTTCCAACAGCTCCCAGGATACAGCCATGTCATGATCCTTGAGCAGGAGCTGGAGGACGGGAAGACGTGCATTGGGAAAGTGATGGCAATGCGGGCTGGTCAGATCAGGACTGAGCCCGCTGATTATCACAGCCCTGGGCGGATACACGACCCAATAAGCAACAAATTTCATCGGTTTGGACTGTGCGGGGACGTGGTTCGCCGGCTGCACCAGATCGGCAGAACGCGTCTGTGCGAGGACAGGCTATGCCGTTTACCCCTGTTGCTCCGACGTATTGGGCCAGACAGATGCCACTGCCAGATTTTCGGATCTCCAGCGGGGGCAATTTCTTGAACATTCGGAGGCCCCAAATCGACCAAACGACCTACCCCCATTTTGGACAGGCAGATCCAGATACTCGTCTAGACCCTTACATGAGGGAGCTGCAGACGTGGCTCGCTACTACCAGACTCTGCGAGCACAACACGGATATTTCATTTATCGCGATGCCAAAGACGATCTCAATATCATCATTGACGAACTTACCCAGGACCAGCCGTCTGCTGAGGACGGCGGGCAGGTTGTGGTGAAACACATCCAGAAGGCTTTTGCCCAGCACCAAGACCGCAGGATTTCGACGGCTTTTGAGCAGCTTTTCTAGTCAGAAGACCAAGCACAAGCGAGATGAATCCCTTGTCAATTATATCACGCGCTTGCGCGTGCTTTTCGGAGGACTCGAGAAGCGCGCGATCCTGCCAGATGATTTGAAAGGTTGCATGCTTCTGAGAAAGCCCAAGCTCAATGACGCTGCTTGGGATGCGGTTGAGCACTGGACAGAGGGGTCATGCGACTGTGACTTGGCGCGCGAAAAGCTTCGGAAGCTTGAACGACCACTACCTTTTTCGCAAAGGTGGCCATCGTATCCATGACGCGAGTTCCTGTTTGCATTTTGTCGGATATCAAGGATCTGATGGCGGACGCGAGGATCAGGAGTCGGATCGCGACGACTCCCCATGTCGCTATCGCGCTAAAGTCTGCGTTTACATTGCCGGAGTCCCATGGGGAAGGCGAGATCATCAGTGAGGCCATCAAGTACATGGACGATGACGATGTACCCTTCGTAGCTTGAGACTTGCCCGACGATGTGGTTCTAGAAGGAGATGAGACCATTGCCGTCTACAGTCAGTCAGGTACGACAGCACTTACACGCACGGAATCTTGGGCGAGGCTTCTTCAAACAGCAACCCCCAAGGGGAGTGTCCGAAGGCCCTTGGAAGGGGGGCCGTCGAGGGAGACGCGCGGGACATGCCCGACCGAAGCGGTGAACCAATTGTAAATTGATGAGCCGCTCGAAGCGCGCCCGATGTGGGAAGGCGGGGCGCTGGGCTCGAGGCAATTCGAACGCGCCAGACGAGCGAGGGCGCAAGCGACAAGCAGGCTTCGGCGGCAGCCATCCGCTCCCCTCGACCCCCCTCGAAGCAGACGACGCCCTGCATGGCGCTTGCCAGCGGGAACCCGCGATCCAGCCTGGAGTCGGCTCTTTCGCCTGTTCTATCTTTGCTACTGTCGACGCCAGAAGTCAGGTTTTCATTGGACTTCAGGTTCGCATGGGTTTCGGCCTGGTGGGCGCCGGAGCTCGGCGTGGAGCACGCGGCAAAGACCAATTTGCGAGAATGGTGGCATTCCTCGGGCCTCCCTACGGTCTGAAGCCTCTGCTGATACTTCTTCTGGAAATGGACGCCGTGGGCGCTGAGGGATCTACCAAGTTTTTCTCCAGCTGCACATTGCCGATTGCCGTGGTCATGGGCCGCGGTGCTCGCGCGGCGAATTCGATCGCCTGCGATGCGCCCTTATTATGCGCAGCGGGGATGCTCAGACAGCGCGGCGCGGTCCTTGGTGCGCAAGGCGGCGCTATCACTTGGAGGGCACTCAGCGCGGCCAGTCGAGGGCGCGCGAGGGGCAGGCAAACGCTGCGCGATCCATATTTCTGCTTTTCCCGAGGTAAGTCGGCAGTGCAAGAAGAGCATCAGGACTGTCTTCCCGAGGCGCAGGGGCGCTCGAGGGCGCCGCGTTCCTCGTGGATCATCAGGCGCCCTCGTCCCAAACTTGTTTTTCTCAGCCAAATGTCGACTCTGCCGACGCCCCGTGCGACGCTGAACCGCGCGGGGCGCATCCCCGCCGAGAAAGGCCGCAGCAGGGGCCTCCGACGTGGCCCAGTCAGCCCACGATGACCCCAGGGAAGCGGACGTGGCATGGCAGCAGTTCTGTCTGAAGTCGTTCTCCGTTCTGGGCCGCGAGGCCACGATGCGCCGCGCGGAGGCCCGCGTCGGGGCCAACGCTTACAAGGACCTCTTCGAGGGCGCCAGGAGCCTGGATCAGGGGGCGGCATCGCCCACGCAATGGCCTCGCGACCCGCGACCCTTCTCCCGAGTTCTGGAGATCAGCAGCGGGGAGTTGTTCGCGGTGGGCAAGAGGCTGGGCCCCGAAGGTTCGGGCGCAGAGAAGCCGACCAGGGCGCGGGCGCGCGCCCCGAGGAGGCCATGCGCCATCGGGGCAACAACAAGACCC